GCACAAGCTGCACTCTTTGAATTTGTTGATTTGTTAAGGTCATTGAATTTCATTCCATTAAAATAAGTTACTTGTTTTAGATGTGCTCTACTGCAACCGCAAATGCATAATTCATTAATGTGGCAGTATTTTATTGCACTGTTGAAATTTTTTTTTTCAAGATGTAACAAAAATCATGAACAGTTATTCTTTCCTAAGAAAGTTCATCTATCTATACGGCTACTCCTTTAAGTTATCAAAAGAAAAATTAATTTAAAAAAAAAAGCTATTAAAAAAGCAATATTAATAGAACTTTATTCCGAACTTTAAAAAAAAAAATAAAATTTATGAGTACATTATTTTTGACATTAAAAAAACTATGCATTCTTTGTGTATTTCTTTATATCTTGTAATACCATGCTAAGCAATAGAGTGTAAAAGAATTGTTTTCTTCTAATTAATTGACTGAATTGCATGGTGACTTCTGCAGGATGGGCAATGCGATATCATTGCCTTTGAGTACCTAAAGCATACATGCTGAGCACATATTGCTACTAATCGTGAACTAATGGGTTGAAAATCTGATAGCCATCTATACTTAGATGTGCGGAATTGTTTTAATTGTGTAACGTGGAATAGAGAAAGTAATTGTAAAGGATACGTTTTTGAACTAAAATTGAATGACCTTGACTATGACAATTGCAATCATCTCGGACATTTCCGGCATAATCGATTGTCGAAAATGTCTGCTAAGTAACAATTCTGTTCTTTGAAAATTTTCATAAATAATTCTGCCTATATGTGCAGTGTAAATATTCAATTATTAAAATTAATCACAAAAATGGTATCATAAGAAGTTAGATGAGATTAATACTCGAAAAACACTCGGGGAATTCCTTTTTTCTTCTTTCTACTTATCAAATGTACGATTGCCGATATGAGCCTGTTTAAAATAATGGTACACGGCCTCTACCATGTATACCTGTAGTTTTACTTTTTTATACATGTACATTTCTCTTAATCTGTACATAAACACATGTACATGTATACAAAATATAACGTGTTATAATTTCGGGAAAAAAAGACGTAAAAGATAAAAATATAAACAACAGAAGTAGATAGATTTCGTTACTGTAATTATGGTACATGTACATGAAAAAATCTTATGTTTAAATTTTTTGTCTATCTTTCTTTCATTAATTTTTGCACTTGACATCCGATACTCTGCAAAGAATACAGCTAGGAAAGGTAGACACCAGAATATAGAAAGCAAAATGTAAAATGTCACCAAGTTTTAAGAAGGTCAACCTGTGCTTTTTATAGATCAAGACATGGATGCTGAGAAAATGTAGAAATTATTTTAGCTTGGGTCAGATTTATGACATGACCGCAATGCTATCCAATAAAAGGGCTGATTAACATCCGGAATTCACGCAGCGGAAGAGTAAACAGTAAAGTGACGAGAAACTGATCACCTCAATTTTTTTTCTCGCAACCACCCATTGATAAATTCACTCATTTTCCTTGAAAGCAATGTGTCCGTTTCCCTGTAATATACACTACATGATGAATAGTGAGTTGGGAATTTAAATATTATTGGCCGTATTGATATGGCCGGCGTTCATTGCCTTGTTCCCTGGTTCATCCACGCCAAAGGTCACACAGAACACTAAACAAATTAGGGAAAGGAAACCAAGCTAGATGACCTCTCAGTTTTGTGGACGCACGCAAGTACTTTAAGAATGTTTCAAAAGTGTACTTTTATGGACGATTCGATACAAAAGAGACTGCTTAGTGCTGGAACTGAACTACAAATTCAAGTCCAAATCTTGAACAAACAAGGTAGATATACAATTTTATACGTGTCACGATATATATATTTTTTAGGTTTAATAACTGAAACTGAAATGTTAATCTTTAACCAACATTTAGGTTGCAGTAAAACTATCTGCATATGCTATTAGTTACCTCTCTCACTTCCCCTTAAAAATGTCCATGATGGACCTAGAGGGCATCAGTAATACATGTACAATACAAATACAATACTATAGTAAGTAACTTTTTTGATTATCTTATGTAGATCCATATCACGAATGAGCATTATTCTCAGAAACATGTATAAATGTATGTGTGTATATGAGTGTGTATTGGGGGGGGGGGGGGGAGAGATCTTTAGATGAATGCAATTTCCATGCAATATAAACAGAAAGACTGTTTTACAAAAATTCGGAGCAGGCACCTGCTGATCTACTCTAGTACACAATATTAAACCAGTCATATCTGTCATGAAATCATATATAAATGCCTAAGGCTTTGGAAAATTGAAGTTTATGAGACTTAAAATTTTCATCCATAGGTCGACTATGGATTGGTTCAGAATATGGTTGCCTGATTTCCGTTGGAAAATGCACTCTACAATCTGTCTAGTGTATCAGCCAAGAGAAAAGCCTAGTATTGGAACTTTGGTCAAAGATATTAAAGGAGCACGATGTTTAAATAAAGAAAGTGTAACGGGGCACAAAGAAATCTTATACCTTTAACAGAGAAAGAAAGATGTCAGAGGTTTTTTTTTATGTTTTTGTATGTTTTTCTATGTTTAGAAGGTTTAATATTATGTTAACTTTAATATTTAGCTTTTCCAGCTTGCATGATATTAAGATAAAAGTATCGTTTGTGATATAAAAATAATATATTTTTAATATTCTTTAATATGAAATATTTGTCATCAAGATGTAATGTATGCTTTTCTGTAAACAATATATACAGAATTAGTTTATTTTACGCGAGGAAATTTACCTTGAAAAGTTCTGCTTTTTTTCAGAAAGAAATATTTGATTTATTCTGTGAATTATATAAACTGCATAATTGACATTTTTTTTTTTGGGGGGGGGGGGGGGGGGGTTATCCCGTAAAGTCTTGCTATCATCGAGTTGCAGTGTTTGGTCATGCTTTGAATAATATAAACTGTATTATTGATACTCTTTGGGAGGGAAGGATTTAACCCGTACATACTTGCTATTTTCTAAGTTTAATGTTTGTTATTTCTAAGTATGATGTACATCTAAACTGTATCAGTAATATTCTTAGAGGAAATTTACCCCGTAAATTTTTACTACCTCCAATATATTGCAAAGCATAAATTCTGTATCAGTGATTTTCTTTGGGGGAAATTTACCCCGTAAAGTCTTGCTATCTTAAAGATGAGTGTTTTTGCTTTCAAATACTGTATATAAACTTATCAATGTCATTTTTAAGAGGAAAATTACCTTATAGATTGTTGCCATCTTAAAAATGATTGCGAATCAAAAATATTGTTTAAGTGATTTTCTTTGGGGGGAAATTTACCCCGTAAAGTCTTGCTATCATCAAGATGGTTGCCTTTGCTTTCAACACTGTATATAAACTGAATCAATGTCATTTTTGAGAGGAAATTTACCCTGTAGAGTTCTACGATTTTCAAAGTGTAATGTTCGCTTTTTACAAGAGTAGTGAATACTGTATCAGTGATACCTTCTTTGGGGGGAAATTTACCCCGTAAAGTCTTACTATCTTAAACATTGGTGCTTTTGCTTTGAATTAATATATGGAAGATGTTATTTTTGGGAGGCAGTTTACCCTGAAGATTTTTGCTATCTTTAAGATGTTGTGAATCATAAAAACTATATCAGTTATTTTCTTTGGGGGGAAATTTACCCCGTAAAGTCTTGCTATCTAAACGATAGGTGTTTTTGCTTTTAATTACTGTATATAAACTGTATCAATATCATCTCTGAGAGGAAATTTACCCTGTAGAGTTCTGCGATTTTCAAAGTGTAATGTTCGCTTTTTATAAGATAAACTGTATCAATAATTATTTTAAGAGGAAATTTACCCTGTAGATTTTTGCTACCGCCGAGATATTGTGAAGCCTAAATTCTGTATGAGTGATATTCTTTTGGGGGAAATTTACCCCGTAAAGTTTTGCTATCTAAGATATGGTTGTTTTTGCTTTGAAATACCGTGTATAAACTGTATCAATATCATTTTTGAGAGAAAAATTACTCTGTAGATTGTTACCATCTTTCAAACAATGTATATAAACTAAATTAATGTCATTTTTGAGAGGAAATGTACCCTGTAGAGTTCTGCAATTTTCAAAGTGTAATGTTCGCTTTTATAAGAGTAATGAATACTGTGTCAGCTAATATTTTTTGGAGGGGAAATTTACCCCGTAAAATCTTGCTGTCTGCAAGATTGGTGTTTTGCTTAGAAATACTGTGTATAAACTGTATCAATATTATTTTTGAGAGAAAAATTACTCTGTAGATTGTTACCATCTTTACGATGTTTGCGAATCATAAATACTGTATTAGAGATTTTCTTTTGGGGGGAATTTACCCCGTAAAATCTTGCTATCATCAAGATGGTTGCTTTTGCTTTCAAACACTGTACATAAACTGAATCAATGTCATATTTTTGAGAGGAAATTTACCCTGTAGAGTTCTACGATTTTCAAAGTGTACTGTTCGCTTTTTATAAGAGTAGTGAAAACAGTATCAGTGATATTCTTTGGGGGGAAATTTACCCCGTAAAGTCTTGCTATCTAAAAGATTGTTGCTTTTGTTTTGAATTACTTTAGGTACTGTTTCAATGTCATTTTTGAGAGGAAATTTACCCTGTATGTTTCTGTTATCTTTGAGATGTGAATCAGTGATTTTCTTTCGGGGGAAATTTACCTCGTAAAGTCTTGCTAAATTGTCAATAGTTCCTCCAAATATTTAAATTTCAGTTTATTTGTGACACTAGATCGTGTATCCATTAGAAAAATGCTGATTTTTCACAATCTTATGAATAAATATCTTATAAAATTCATGATATATATTTTCGTACATTTACCTAGCCCCTATTTTTTTCTTTTTCAAGTTTTAAACTTATTAATAACACTTCTTTATCAATGTATGGTTTATTTGGTTGCCTTGCATTTCAACGATCCTGTTTATTTTTTCTATATTAATGCGTTTTATGCTCCCACAATGATAAAGGAAATGACGTGATTCACCAGCTGACCAAGAATTGGAGCTCATCCCTCTACGTCTCTATAACATTACTGAATGCAACGACTTTGTATCAACAATATCAGCAGTTTTCTGTGTCTGATGAAACAGACAACTACAGACTCTTTCTTGGAGGGCCAGCTACCGGAACCTTGGGTAAGTAATAGATAGAATGTTTATTAGTCATATTCTATGGTTTTCATATTTTTTGACTACTTATATAAAATAATTATAGGATTTTGACCAAATAGAAATACAATATAACCAACGTCTTTTTTATGCCCTGTCCATCTAGCTGTCTGTCTGTTTGTTTGTCCGCAAAAACATTAACCTTGCCCATAACTTTTGATTGGTTTGAGCTATGACTTTCATATTTCACATATGTATTCCTTATGACAAGACCTTTCTTTGGGTACCATAATATTTGACCTTTTGACGTTGACCTTGGAGTTTGACCCACTTTTGCAAAATTTTATGAGATTTTAACCTTGGTCATAACTTTTGAACTTGGGCTTTCAAACTTCACATGTGAATTTTTCGTGACAAGACCTTCCTACTGATACCAACAACTTTTTCCCCTTGACCTTGGAGTTTGACCTACTTTTGAAAAAAAAAAACTTTTACCTTGGCCATAACTTTTAAAGAGTTGTTGTTAGGGCTTTCATACTTCACACGCTTATTTCCTGTTACATGACCTTTTTGGATACCAACAACTTTGACCTTTTAACTTTGACTTTTGAGTTTGACCTACTTTTGAAAAAACTTTAATCTTGGCCATAACATTTGAACAGGTGATGCTAGGGTTTTCATATTTAGCATGTCTATTTCTTATGACAAGGCCTTCCTTTAAATTTCAAACACTTTGACCCTTTGACCTTGACCTAGGAGTTTGACCTACTTTTGAAAGAAAACTTTAACCTTGGCCATAATTTTTGAATGGTTGATGCTAGGGCTTTTATTCTTTACAAATGTAATCCTTGTGACAAGACCTTCCTTTGGATACCAACCACTTTGAGCCTTCGACCTTGATCTAGGAGTTTAATCTAATTTTGAATAACTTTTACCTTGGCCATAACTTTTAAATGGTTGGTGCTAGGGCTTTCATACTTCACATATTGAATCTTTGTGGCAAGACCTTCCTTTGGATACCAACAACTTTGACCCTTTGACCTTTAACCTGGAGTTTGACCTACTTTTAAAAAACTTTAACCTTCACCATAACTTTTATATAATTGGTGCTAGCAGGGTTGGCAAATAACCGGGAAATACTCATATTTCCCAGGACAGTGGGAAATACTGGTAATTCCCGGGTATTACTGGTATTTCCCGGAAAATACTGGGAAATAAAATGACTATATATTTCATGATTTAATCATATTTGTCGGGGTATAGACATGTAGTACATCTTATTGCCTAAGATATCTACAGTACAGTACCTGTTCACTGCCCCTGATTTAAAAAGTTTTTGTTTCCAAGTAAACTGAAACAGTATATTCGTATACCATTCATGTGTGTCGTTTGTTTCATGCTTGAGTCGGATGTAGTCTATAAATGTCCATGAAATGAACCCAAAGATCCCAATTGGATTTTGTATGTAACTAAAAAGGATCTAAGAAAATTGTTAAATGTAGAGTATGGTGTAAATATTAGTTCTACTCAAGGTAATTATCTCTCAAAACCGGAGCACAAAACTGTCCAGAGCAATTTGTTAAAATAGCATAATTGATTCTAATAATTCCATTGTTTATAGAAGGATTAAACAAGTTTATTTTGTTCTTGGATTTATAATCAACAAACTTAGAGAATGTTCTTGGGTAGAGGACCCGGAATAGTGATATACTCTGCATATGTAAAATTGCAGTTTGAGACATATTCAATATTATTCACCTTCTGTTTTTATGTTTATTTTATTTCTGAATTTTGCATAAGATTGAATGAATCAAAGAAATTAAAAAAAGCATTTTACTTAGTATTTCCCAGTTAACAGAAATTTTGTAGTATTTACCGGCATGGGAAATACCAGTATTTTCAACTGGTGATTCCCACCACTGGTATTTCCCGGCCAACCCTGAGTGCTAGGGCTTTCATACTTCACATATGCATTCCTTGTGACAAGACTTTCCTTTGGATACCAAAAATTTTAGAAATGACCTTAACTTGACCTTGGAGTTTGACATACTTTTAAAACATTTTAACGTTGGCCATAACATTTGAACGTTTGGTTCTAGGGCTTTCACATTTCACGAACATGTGTATCACTTGTGACAAGACCTTCCCTTGGGGCTCAATGTGACCTTGACCTCGGTGTTTTACTTACTTTTAAAAAACTTTAACCTTCGCCATAACTTTTGAACAGTTGGTGCTAGGCTTTCAAATTTCACAGGTATATTCCTCATGGCAAGAACTTTCTTTGGCTACCAACATTTTTGATCTCTCGACATGGAGTTTGATTTGCATTTGAGAAACTTTAACCTTCGCCATAAGCTGCCATACGGGGGCATCAGTGTTTCACAAACACATCTTGTTCTTAGTTTACTTGTGTATATGAATCGGATTTTCTTGAAAAAGAAAATCTAAAGAAATTGTGTATTTTGATACGATTTACTGATTATCATATGGGAACCTTTTTGGTGTTATTGACAAATTCGTGTTCGATAACAACCCATCACATAGTCATTTTTTTATTCGACAAATGTATCTTCTTGGATCATTATTTTACATTTACACACACTTTTAAGATTTCCTGTGTAGCTAAAACAAGTTATTATAAATGTTCATTCTATTTGAAGAAACAAACTGTTCTTTTAAGAATTTATGAAATATCAATTGATATATTTTATGGCATTGTTTAAGTCATTGTTTCTGAACTGAATCATTGCAAACTCTTTGTGTATATATAATTTTTTTTAAATTGTTTTTTCAACAGATCTTTTATATGACATACTTAGTAAACCATGATGGCATTGCTTTACATTTAATTAAACCTTTGTATTCACATCAATAAAATCAATAAATCAATGTAACTACCTGTGTGGAGGTTTGTAGCATAACGCACACACACACACACACACACACACACTCCCTCACACACACACACACACACCCTCACCCTCACACACACACACACACACATATACGTGTATGACGTGCCGACTGAACACCTTAACTTCCCACATGCAAATGGACACTTCTTGTAAAAGGGAGTTAGAGGGAAGAAATGTTATCTGTTTGACTAAAAATAACAACTAAACATAGAATCAGACTTAATATGTATCGAAAAAGGTTTATTTCATTCCTTGATTTTTCACATACCAAATGAACACTTAACTGATACACAACCAATTGAACACTTTCATTTACACACTGTCAACTGAACACTTCTAAAGCACACAGTCAACTGAGCACGTCTGACACACACTGTCATCTAAACACGTATAATACACACAGCCAACTAAGCACATTTAGCACACACACAGTCAACTTAACACCACTGATACACACGATCAACTGAGCACGTCTGACACACACTGTCATCTAAACACATATAATGCACACAGCCAACTAAGCACGTTCAACACACACAGCCAACTATAATCACTTCTTAAAGACATGCATGGTTACCTGTGCACCTCCAACACACAGTCAACTAACCACATGTGACACACACAATCAAATAACCATATCTGATACACGCAGTCAACTAATTAAAAACATCTTAAGTATACGATTAACAATACCATCTCCGGAGTGCAGTGCAGGTTAGAGCGTCTTCTCTAGAGTCGCGAAGTAAGGAGTTGATCCTTACGTCGCGGGTTAGAATCCCACTGTGGGACCTAGAGACCGGTCCTTCGGATGAGACCGTATAAACCGAGGTCCCGTGTCGCAGTAGGTGCTGGCACGAAAAGATTCCTCACTGCTAAATTACCGTAAGTGTCGAGTACAGGACAAAATTTGCAGCTCTCCACCGACAAGTGGTGACGTTTCCATATAAGTGAAAAAATCTCGGGAGAGACGTTAAACAACATACAAACAAACAAACAAACCATCTCCAGATAAAAAAAAATTTAACAAGATAGAAATATTACGTCGATCTGCCCCGTAAACATAGTCAGGTATACATATTCTTTATAGACAAAATTTAGCACATCCCGGAATTCATGATCACCGATCAACCGAATCGTACAAAAAGTACCCACTCATGTGTTTTGGTTTTTCATGGTGAGAACACTTACATTGGAAAACGTTTAATTTTGTCAGTTGAAGCACAATGATATAAATAGAAATGAATCTTTTTTTAAAATTTACTTTGAAAAAGTCCATTAATTTATTTTATTCTGAATTTTAGCACAGCCAAGAAATGTAAATAAACATATTTTGAAATATTTTAAGTAACTACATAGATATATTAGGAGACGTTCTACTTTCCAATTTTTCCGTTTGCACAACTTTCATTCATCGTGCGTTCAACGTCTGTTCACCATGAGCTCATAATGCGCTCATTTCACAGTTTTGCGTTCAGCGTTCACCAACCGCTTGCGTTAACTGTTCACAAAGCATTGTTTTAAATATATTTTATTGAGTACACAAAAAGATAGGAAACAAGTTCTTAAAACTAACTAGTTATTTTCCTTATATATTACAATATTTCATGCAAATTAAAGAAAAATAATACAATTGATACAAGTGAAAATGCTATTAAATAACATATCAACTAGAGAATCTACATGTTTCGTCAATAAATATATGAACGTTAACAGCAGCAAATATACTGCTATTTATCTGTAAAGGCAAATTAACATCATTAATAGTAGATTTATATCAATAGTGACCAGTTCAAGCATGAACAAGCGATTGAAAAGATTACTTTTTGCATTAGAATAATTTTTGCATGCTAAAAAGAAATGTTACACATCTTCATGTTTTTGAACATAAAGGACTATTAATAATTTCCTTTATATAGATCATAGTTTAGTATATAGTAATGTCGTAGCTTAGTATGAATGATATTGATATCTCGCTTTACCGAAAGAAAAGTAGGATGGTGGATTTTTAATTTTTTGTTATCATTTTTTTTTTCGAAATGTATGTTGAGATGGCTTTTCTGACCTCTGTTTTTAATAGTCAGGTACGACGGAATTTCTAAATAATTCTAATCT